CCAAGAGTCGCGTCTCGTCGGCTATTACCTTTTCCCCGTCGATGATAAACTGTTTTAGAACTTCGCGGAACACTCTGTGGATTCAGTGCGATAATAATCAGCGAAGCGTTAAAATATTAAACGACTTGGAAATGTATCTGTCCTGTATACGCTTAACGAAGATTATAAACCGTCGAGGCAACGTTGCGTCATGTTTTCGTGTGTTGTCAGCGGTTTGGTCAGCAGCAGAGACAGTCTTTATCGTCCTGTTACATTGTATGTTTTATCCGCGACGCCACTTATCACGGTTTCTCATCGACAATAAATCATGCCCGTTCGATTATAAATTTGCATAATTTCCCGATAAGCAAATAAGATCCGTCAAAGCGATCGCCGCAGTCGCGTATAAAGTTTCTTCGATCGAAATGTACGACGGACGCATGCGCGTCCTCGTATGTTTTCTACGCTAGAGAAAAAGATTAAACTCAACGGTACAAAGAGATAGAGAGATCCCCTGTTCCTGTTTTTCGTCTTTTACCGAATTACTCGGGGAATCGCCCTTTTTTCGCGAAACAACGGTGCAACGCTCTCAGCGTGACGTCTTCATGGCAGCCATCGTATTCTTTTTCCCTCGCAGCCCTTTCTCGCTACCAACGAAATTGTTCGGAACGGCGATATTTTTACAAAACAATTTCAACTTGAGACTGTACTTTGCTTTCCTTCTAGTTTTGGACAATTTAAAAATGTTCATCGTCGTAAATAGAATTCGAGACGGAGGCTGAGAGAAACCAGTGGCTTAGGAACGGAAGCTGGTGCTGTTCGCACCTGCGATCTTCGATTAAAGCGCCTCGCGAGTCGGCATCACGCTCGAGCGGCGAGACGACCTGATATGTAAACGCTTTTTCGCCCGCTATCGGGGCAAAGCACGCGGGACAATAATTGTAACGATAAATAGGGACGCGACGGAAGCAATGGGACGGAAAATCAGTCGGTTCTGCCGGCGTATCGTCAAGGAGGTCGGGAGAGTACTCTCGCATTCCGATGAACAGCAAACCCAGAAACAGGAGGGACTGGCAGGGTGACAAGTTGCGATGAGAGAAAAACCGGGAGAAGGTGGATTGCTGGGAAAGAGAGGGCAAGAAAGACAGAGGGAGAGAGTGATCTCGCAAATCAGTAGAAGGCGGCATCGACCTCGTCTCTCCGCGTCTCTCTCTCCCAGCTCCGTTCGGTTCGAACGACGCTTTTCCCTCTTACGCGGCTCTGCTCCTCTCGCGGAATCCTTTCTTCTGTGTGTGCATTGTGCGGATAATACCGGCACTGGCTTCTTTTTCCGTGGCTGTGGGCGAAAACGAGCCAGTCGGATACGTGGAGCGGTGGCGGAAAAAAGAGAAACGTACGATCGGTATTCTCCCCCGCTCTGTCTCCCAGGCTGCCCGTTCCTCCCTTCTTCCACGCATTTTCGAAAATAGTCTAACCTAAAAATATGCGGGAACGGCGAACCGTGACACGACGTGGAACACCGTCGATTCTCCACGAAAATTGCATTTCTTCATCGTTCGATCGCCAGGCCCTTGTTTACCGTACAGTCGTCCCTGCGAAAGAAAGACCTACGAGGGAACATCCTTACAGTCTCTGTACGCTAGGATGTTCCTTTCTGACTATGAGGGCTAATTGTTTCCAGATACAGAGGGTAGATCGCGTCTACGGTCCATTCAGACCAGGATGTTGTGGGATTTGTTTAGCCTGGGTACTCCAAAAGCCCTAGAGCGCGGAGGATACATTTACAAGCGAAGCAACTATTCATCGATTGGTTATCCCGTTTATTGCGAATTTCTACTGTCTGTATATTGCAGCAGGTAAGGTTATCCAAGAGAAAACTTCTTTACGGTGACTAGAGTCTGACGGGCCTCCCGGTCCCGTGCTTTTATGATGCGGATGACGATGAGAGGACTCGTTATTCCAAGTCCAATAACCCTTGGGTGGTCGTGGAGCCAGAGGGTAGAACACGTTCACTGTCTATTCAGTCTAGGAGATTATAGACTTCATTTAGACTGGGTATTTCTGAAGTGCCTCGGTGCTGAACGGCACTCACTATTTGCTGTTGCAGTAGAACCTCGATTATTACGAGAGTGTCTCGTTCGTTGCACAGTGTCGACGAGTAGAACAAATAGTCGCTAAGTAACAAGAAACCATCCATGGATACTTAGGAGCACAGTATGGAAATTGGTTACTTTGATTATTGCAAGAACCTTGATTATTATGGTATTTTCTACCGACTTCAAACTCCAGCAGGTCAAATTACTCCGAAGAAAACTTCCTTGCGTCGACCAAGTTTCAGTGGGTCTCTTGGACTTGTTCTTTCAACTTATGATCATAATCTTCGAAAAGTACAAAGTATTTCTACGCCAGGAACATTTCATTAGTCTAAGGTTTCGTGCACATTTTGTCATTTGCACGTTTTTAAGGATTTATGTCCCCAAAACGGAAGAGAGACGGTCCTTTCTACTTTTTGAGGCTGTTCTACCCTACAACTAAAGGATAAAAGGAACAAAAAAACCTGGACCATAGTTTGCGGCTTACCACTGTTAGAATACGTGTACAGGGTGACCCAAAACGAATGGTACAACCGACCAAAAGGTAATTCTACGCGAAGAATTAAGTCGAAAATGTAGAGTAAAATGTTTTCGTTTTGTTGTACCACCTGGGACACCCTGTATACGCAACCAGAAAACTGTATCTGAAGGGTGACTCGGTTGAAATTCATCGAACCCTTTTTCCTCCGACCATAGTATATGTCGGACGCAATAGTTTCATTACTTGGCCGCAGTTCAAAATACAAAACACAAAACAGCATCGTGGTTCTAGAGAAAGCATAGAAGAACTTTACGAGAATATAAACCTGACATGGGACATTGTTGCGGTGGTTTTTCTTCGCATAGCAGCTAGTTCTTTTTTTGCCGACGATTCTCGTATAAAATCCATTTCTCATCTCCAGTTATTAAATTCTTCAACGTCTTTGATTCCACACCCTGTACGTTCGACGGAAATATTTGGGCGCATTTCGTTTTCGTCTCGTCATCGTATCCAAAATGTCTCTCCCCTTATTCATCGGGCTTTCATTCCCATAATCTCGCCTTATCTTTATTATGCTCTAAAATCGACTCGTAAATTTCGAGCCGCTCCCCGATCGCTGACGGGTTACGTGTCCGTTAACGTACACTCCGATACCAGAATGTGTCACCGTCGAAACTGTTTACAGCCTCTTTGTAATCGTTCCGCGCGATACCTCCAAGTCCAATCGTGATTATCTAACGATTACGGGGAAAACTCGTCACGGTTACGAAGGGAGAAATTATCGCTCGGCGCGGTGGTAGAAAATTTATCGGAGACCGTCGTCCATAGAAACGAGCACAATCCTCATCCAGATAAATTATTAACCCCTTATTTAAATCATCAAAGTACCATAGTACCGAGTCTTCGCCGTGCCGTATCCGGGCATTTAATTAGAAACGTTGCTCCCTTGACCGACCGATGGTGGTATTCGCGTAATATCTGCACGCGACATCCGAGTTGTTAATATCGCTTGTCATTTCAAAGATGGATATCGCGGCTGGAAACGTCATCCCGAATCTGATCCTTAATTATGGTATTACGTTTAAGCACTTCATGCAATAACGATTATTAGTTCACGTTGACGGAGATAAATGTACAGCGACGATCAAAAGTATTGGCACGGCCAAAACATAGAGGGACGAGACTGAAAATGAAATAATAATTTCCAAGAAAATAGGGCTTGCTTATGAAATGGTATAGGTATGTTAAAAAATATTTGTTTATTAACTCTAATGTAGGTCTCGTTGGACGTAGTATAGATCCGTCACTGTGCACCGATCGGTCTCGCACACGCGTGTCCTTTAGGTCAGGTTGAGTATCACTGACAGATTTGTAATAAGTGTAAGCGGATCGGCACAGATGCGTCGCTCGCACTGGTCCCGTTTGCGCGCTCGCGCGTGCTCTCTTCTTGTCGAATCCCAGCACACCGTGAAACCATGATGACGCAACGACCAAGTGTTGGTGGAGGTTGGGAGCGCGGACGACGTGTCGCGAATGAGCCTGTGTAAAAGCTTCACAGCCAGCTGCACGGCAGGCCGCTTAAGTCGCGCTCACGACTACGCCGCCCAGGTTACGAACGATTTCGATGTTTTGGAGAAAGTTTCGCCGTCTCCGTCGCGTCGCCGGCGAATAATCGATGCCCCGGCACTTTACCGCTCGCCGTAAACTTTTATTCGAACGATAGACAACGAACAATATCACGGTCGGCCTACTGGATCCTACTGGATCTTCCTACGCCGACAGATTCGGATTCGACACATTTGGTATGGAGTAGTTTGAGTATCAGGCCAAAGGCAACGAACGATTTTCTGCGTGAGTCATAGCACGTCGATCGTCGTTCATACTAGCTCGCGGTGCATCATATCGACTCGGCTTCCTTCGCCTGACGCCGCGTTGCACTGACACGGCGTAGGACTATCGGGACTATACATGGTAGACGCGTTACGGTACAGTCACCGTTCGAGAAGAGGCTCTCGAGGCTTTGTAGACGGTGGCATCGTGCACGGGTGGTGCAAAGCAAGTAGGCAGGCAAAGCTCCGATCGAAACGGAGCGAAGCGCGAATCCGAGTCGGAGTCGGAGTCGAAGTAGGAGTTGGAATTGCGCGAGAATCGGAGTTTGAGTCAAAGTCGGAGTCGGAGTCGGAGTCGTAGTCAGAGTTGAAGTTAGAGTCGGTTCGGGTCGAGTCGGGTTCGGGTCGAGCATAGCCGAACGCGTGGCTACGTGCGCGCTTCGCTGCTGGCGCGGTGCGGCGTGTCGTAGCATAGCACGTCGGGACGGGTTGGGACGAGACGGTACGAGACGATACGGCACGAGACGATACGAGACGGAGAGGGACGGTGAGAGGCGAGGCTAGTCGAACCGAGCCGAATCGAGTCGAATCGAGAAGAGAGTCAGTGGCTGACGACTCCTCGGGGCGTCAGGTTCTCTGTATGGGGTTTGTTGTTGTTTCGCGCTTCCTGCAAACCACGTGCGCAGCGTGACAGCTCCGTCAACGGACGTTTAAAGGTACGCGGCGTTACCTTGTAATAACGACGTCTCTGTTTATCGCGATCCAAGTTTTCGACCGGTGACATTTTCGAACGATCGAGCGAAACGGAACAAGATTTTTACGACCGAACGCTCTCGAGGAAGAATCGCATCGTACGAGGGAGGAAGCTAGTATAATCGTTTGCCGTGCCGAACACGCTGTTTTAAAGTACCATCGTGTCATCGTCCATTGAAATTTCGAAAGTGGTATCGCGTTTGACAGAAGTGACAGAGTGCGATCGAATTACGCGGGTGGCACCATTCGAGGTATCGATTCGACTCGAAAATCCATGTTCGACGCTCGAACAAGTTTCAATTTTGTTGAGCGATCGTAACGTGGTGTACGGGTGCTACTTGTTGGATCGCGTAGCTGCCAATAATGTTCAAAAACGCGTTTCAAGGCTCGGCGAGATCCGTGAATAATACAATGTTAAATTTGTCACGATGACTTGGCTACGTGCCCTCGCCGGTTATCGCAGCCGAGACTTTCGTTAGCAACTCTTATCGGGCTACGCGAATAACCTGACCGTGCGCAGCGTAAATATTATGAGTGCAGGAATCTTCGAATCGTGCGACGAGTTGAAATTACGATGCCGTCTAATCGCGCCGAGCCAGTTACCAACCGCGAAAACCATAAGGCGGAAAATCGCGCCAAGGACGAATGATGTTCGAAGAATTTATCAGCCCCGTTGGCCAGAGTCTCGAAAGAGGTCGCGTCGTTGCTTACCGAAAAGCAAATAAAACGTCCCGAACGAGCGGTAAGCCTGCTTGTGCCATTGAGGCGGCAGCGGGCAAAGTAAGTGGACCGCGCCGGGCAAGAACGTAACGCGGGTAAATTAGTCGCGGAACGGGTACGTCTGCGACAAGAAACGGAGTAATAACGACCGCGGGCCGGAAGAACGTGGAAACGAGCGAAGAAACAGGAAGGAGGCGGCGGGTGTACACGTATTTGCGAACCGGACAAACTCCGAACATAGACAACCACTGCGGGGAGATAGAGAAAGAGAAACAGAGAAGGTGGGAACCGTACGGGAAGGGGGAAGGACCGAAGGAAGGAAAGAACGATTCAGAGGAGAGGGAAGAGAGCGGAGAGAAGATTTCTGGGCACGCGCACTCCACCTGCTAGCGTGTAGTGGCACGCGCCATACCCACCCCCCTCCGCTGTGGACGTTGCGGACCTCCTCTCCCCACGGTCCCCCTTTGGCGTTACCTCCTGGTTCTACCGCGGCCGTCGCCACCGCCACCGATTCTTCCCTCTCACCCCCGACCCCGACCCCGCTCACGATCTCCCCACGTTCCGCGGAGCCTCTCCTCCCGCGGGAATCCCCTCCCGTGCTCCCCTCACGCGTGCCACGGTTTCAAGCTGTGACGCGCGGGAGTCAATCGCTCGCGGACTTCGATAGGACGAGCACACAGGTCCTTGCTCTTCCTCTTCTTCTCCCGTACGCCTCTGTCCGACCGTTCGCGCCTCCTGTGCCTCGTGACGTTCTACCGATCTTTGCTCCGATATACTCGCCACCCTCTACGTTTCGATCTTTAAATCTCTTTTTGCACCCTCCTCTCTGAGAAATCCGAGATCGGTCTCGAAGACATAGACAAAGGATAGAGAGGGAAAGAGAGAAGGTTCGTAACGTCGCGTGGCCGACGATTTCAAAGTTCGCGGTGTATAATCGCGATCGATTACCATTGTAATCGAGAGACGGTTTTTGCCGGGGCGAGGAAAAGGCGAGCCGTACGAGAAGAGTTGTGCCGGCCGATGTTCGCGTATGAAAAAACCCGGTCGTCCTCCAGCACCTCTTCCTCCTCTTCTTTCCGGCGTCCGTTTGCTGCCAGGGGGGCAACGTGCCGGCCGATCTGTGCATTGTAAACAAAGGGAACAAAGGGCCAACGGCGACAACGAGGTGGACGACGACGAGGAGGACGAGGAACGAGTACGGCGAGCACGGCGTGGAGAAGAACGCGCCAAGGGAGTAAGAACGTAAGAAGGAGGAAGGAAAGCGAACGAGCGCGATAAAGAGTGGGGGGCTGACGCGTGCTACTACCGCCGTTACTTCCATCGCAACAAAAATAGTCGAGTCTCCGTGGAGGAGGAGAGACAGAGAAAGAAGGAAAAGGGAAGAGAGATAGTGGCGGCGAGGAAAGAGAAGGAATAAAGTTATCGTAATATATACACGCACACGTGTGACTGAGCGTACAGTGGGGTCACGCGCGATACAGTGGTTCGGAGCAACTCGTCTTCTTTCGTCCGGTGCGTGACGTATCGGCGAACAACCGAGACAAATACGATCCGCGGGCGAAAATAAATACGCGATAAATTTGGGGACGAATCGCGCGAGAGTCGCGAGACGGAGAAAAAGGAAGAAAACAAGCCGCTCCGCGACAGGAAAGTTTTTATTCTGGACGTTCGTATCTGACTTTCGGTGCCCTTTGCCGTCAGCGGTGACAGACCGCCGCGCGATCAGCTGTTCGTCGCGAGGCCTCGCGGACTTGGAGATACTCCACGATCGCTGTCATCCACCACGAGTCATTTTCCAACGAGATTCATAGTTCGTGCTACGACACGCCACGGGAAGAACGTTCTTCTCGTTCTCTGTACGCGTGTTTCGAGTCGACGTTCTCGAACCACCTGTTGACGATTTACGAGGGAAAATCGACGCTGTCGGCATCGAGGTTGCCCTCGAGTCGTTGTACGCGGCGTGCCATCGGAGGAAACGAGCGATTCTACCTCTTCGGTTACGAGAAAAGTGAATATTTCCCATCGATCGTGTGCCAGGTTAAAAAGAATAGAAATCAAAGATACGAGGAAAATCGTTGTTGCCATGGGTTCGACAACATTTCGTCGAAAGAGTGTCGCACGGACGTGTGTGGAATCGGTGGCGGCACATTGATATGCAAATTCGGGGCGAGTTTTCGCCGGAGGAAGTCGGTGTTAAGTATGCGAGCAGAGAGAGCGTCGGTGGCGGAACGGCGCGTCGACTGTTTTTCGGAGCGAGCGTTATCGAGACGTTGTTAATACGCGTTATCGGTCGGTCGCATCGCCAGTGACAGAGACTCGACGCGTAAAGGTTCGGAGGTCACGGAACTGTTGGACGATATGCGGCACGCAAACTCGTTTCAACGAGCAGAGAATTTTGGCCCGCGGAACAAAGGGGCTCGCTCGCTTCGAACGGGAGAGGAATCGCGACGGGTTCGAGCGTTGATATGCTCGGGGTACGCAGGGGCGTCGATGATTCTATTCCCGGCGTCTTTTTATTCGCCGTGCCGTTAAACGGGCAGTGTGTACGCGCGTTGGCGACGTGTCGCGCGCGGGAACTACGAGTTCACGGGTGATAGCTAGTCAAGTGATCGGAAGGGCATTACGTTTTACGGGCATCGAGACGGGTTCGTGTATAATAAAGAGAGGCTCTCGTGTTAGACCTAAGTTTTTGTACAGTAAAGAAAGAATATTCTACGGTATACTGTTGGATTCGAGCAGCGCGCGTCACGGACGGTATTCAAACACCGTTGCGGACTGTTCGGCGCCCTTTGTACATTTCGTTTTCTGTTATATGCGTCATCACGGGACGCGGATTGTTACGTTGTCGCGAAAGAAACTTTGGAGAGGCGCGCGCCGCGACCGTTTCCGGAAAAGTGTCGCGGGGGGCGACGAAAGCGAAAGTGTCGCGCGGCGTCGTGCGTACGTTCGACGCGGGAAAAGAAAATGACCTTCAAGTTCCGTTGAGAATCTTCCACTCGGATCAAACGGAGGAAAACATGGATCTGTAACGGGGGATACACGATCGAGGAAGAAATTGCGACAGTGTGTTAGTGCGGATATTACAGTGTCGCGAAGAAGTGATCGGAGGAGGGGCATGGTGGGCCCCCACCAACCAGGGCCACAGGCCCGGGTGGCCCCCCTGTAAAAAGGAAATCTCTCGCTATCGTGCCGCTCGTGCTCCATTACACTGCCTGGAATGATGGTATGTCCATGAAAATAATATTCTTATCTCTCCGTGTCATAGTTCTGTTTTCTTCGCGATCGTTCGCAGCCTCGCTCCTAACCGGGGATTTCACTCTCGTTGTTGTTTTGCATCTTCGCGAGGTTAGGCTACAATGCAATCAGATTTATGATTAACGAGTACGATTACCGTCTAGTCGAGACAGTGATTAACGATCGTCGCTACCATTATTTGTTTATTTGTTTGTTATGTACACGGATTAACCCACTTGTACGTTACAAGTGGCAAAACTCGAATTGATTTTTCTCGCTTGAAACACTAGGTATTCTTGTTAACCTTAATCCTACCGGAACGTAAAGTTTGGATCACGCGCCAAGGTTGAATAACTGTAGGATACGCAAGCAAATTTATACACTAAAGACATTTTATGTATTTTATGATACGCAAAGTAAACTGTAGACTGTACTTGTACTATGAACAATGCAAAGATTATATTTTGTTCGTCTTATGCAACGAAGGGGCTCAAAATTTAGCATGTTGTTATAATATTTGTTCTTCGCGTTTTCGATCGTACCGCGAATTTACGCTCTGTACGTTTTCGAAAATAAGGTCCAGCCAGCATTAAGGGATCAAAGTTCTGCGAACAATGAACTGCGACTCGCTATCAGGGTTTTTCATCCCCGCATTCACCGTTAATGCACATAAAGGATATCGATTTGTGAATTTTTTATCTCGTGCGTTGTCTGTCGGTGACTTTGAATGCGCGCGGAACGTCACCAGATAACGGAAGTTCCGGGCCCGATAAAAATTATTCGAGCCCGCGAAACCGATGAAAAAATCGTGATTTATTTTTCCCCGTATCATCGGGGCTTGGGTTCCCGCGATGATGTATTCACTCTCTCGAAACGACGCCGCGCGGAATCTATTTCTCGTCTTACCCACGCATTGCTCTCACTCGAAGATTCAAAGAAACCGGAAACGTCTGACCGCCGTAACTGTATTGCACCACACGCGTTGGTTGTTTGTATTGAAATTGCGCTGCGTGTCCCTTGGTGCGTATAACTCGGTCGTATTTATTATACCGTGACTTTGTGCACCGGTGCAGTGTTCGACTATGATCGAACGAAAATGTGGTCGCATATCTTTTCCACGGAAACGATTCGATTCATATTCTTAACAGAATTGTGGTCCGATTCTTAAAGCGAAATCTTTCAAGGTTCCCACTTGAATTTTGTATGGGTTTGTGCATCCTATTTAATTAGTCGAGTAACCAAAAAGAATGATCGATATTGTACGATATTCAAGGTATACTAAATGTCGCGTGTCACGGTAGGCGAACAGACACGTTTCGGATATCCCAGTGGCTTCTAAAAGTTGGTTCGAATCGTGGAGCAGCAGTGTACGATGCAATGGAACGTGGAAGTTTGATAAGACGATGGCGTGGGTTCGGCGAGACAAGCAAAAATTACGAGAGCGACGCTATTGATTCCGTCCCAGTTAGGTCGTCGTTGGCTTCGCTCTCCGGGCGTCCCAGGAGCGTCAAGATCGCATGCACACACGTAGAACAATAGATTGACCGTCGACTAACGGCATTCTGGCGGTCGGACGACCGATAATAGGGGCATCCAGCGCGAGCTCGCGGACATTCCGCGTTTCTCCGTTCCAGGCGCACCGGTTCCGTTGCACTAACGACCGGGGCGGTAGTCGGGAATCGGCCATTCGTGGACGGTTCGCCTCCTGTGTTCTTTAAAACCGTTCGCCAGTTTTCATCGAAGAACCGTGAGAGTAGCACGTTCGCCATTTCTAGCGATGCAACGTCAATGGAAAGTCAGTACACGGTAACGTCTCGGTTATTGATCAAATCTACGTTAAGGATATATATGATCAGGAGTCATCCCCACCACTGTTTATGTTAACCCCTCGTATACGAGATACATATAGATAATACCTGGCTGCGAAAGATAAGTTAATCTCCAGAGATCAAACAAATATGCCGTATAAAAAAGTTTGAAAGTTGATCGATACAGTTTGATATTTGAATAGCACAGGTCTAGAGGTATAAAGGTGAAAATTCTGTCAAGAACGTTTAAAAAATTGGTTACTTTTTTATTGGATTCTCTAAAAGTATGTATAGAGTATAAAAATAAAGAAAATTGCTTCATAATATGATACTTGTAACCACTTGTTGCGTGGACCGAATGAAGTGTACACGTTACATATCCAAATAGAAAAAATTTCGAACGTACAAACATACAAATCCGATTACATGGATAATATAACACTTATTTTGTCCGCTTAATACATTATTTCCTGTTTTACAAGCAGTTATAGTATAATTACAAACAAATTTCCTCAAATATGTCCAACGTTGCCCGTTACTTTATTTTATCGTTCTACACGGTTATAATTAATATCTATGCCAATGCTATTTTACGCGCAATAAAAGTATCCATTTTTATCCACAACGTGGCTTTGTATTTTCACGTTTCATGCTCCCGTTTGAAGCCTAGAGTTTCTAATTTTTCACGCACATTTCGCTTTACCCGCCACTTTTTTTTTGTATTATTTCCTGTAAATAATTGTATTTTAGCCATTTTCTATCGCTTTCCTTTCAACGAAAGGGCTATAGAAATTCAATCGCCCCTTGTATTTTCTCGATGTTCTCCATCGCGTTCGTACGCATCGAGAATAGTAAGAGCAACCGAGAAACAGTGAAAACAAGTCAGATACAGTTAATAATCGGTCGTCGGAAACTCATTAGTAACTCGAGATACTTTCGGTCGCGCGATGAAAGCAATGACGAACCTCGCGGTGACACAATGAAAGGATTTGCGGTATTTTTATTCGTTTCGCTATCCACCGACGATGCTATAGTCGAAATCAAGAATAACTGGTATCGTAGGGCATTTCGATTCTTCAGAGTATACTATCAAAATATGAGACACAGGATAAGGGTTAGGGTTAAGGGTTGAAGGTCAAAAGTTGGGTTCGAAGGGTTAAGCAACGAAAGGGTTGACCGATCGACGAGGAGAGTTGGAGTTGCGTCGCGAGGAAGAAGGGGGGTGGTTGGTTGGCGGTCTGTCGTCGCGACGCGCGCCTCGGCGTCCCGATTCCGGCGTGTCATAACAGGGGAATGAGCTCTGCTCGGGTGGCCGGCTCATGGCTGCGTCGGAATTATTTATACCACTTGATTACACGCGTTGTGCCGTGCCGAGGAGCGACGGAAACTGCCGAGGCACGCTGGTCGGTGTACATATATCGTGCACGCATCGTTTTATCGAGCATCGATGCGAGGAATCCGGCATACTTTTGCCCGCTTCCGCGATATCGAGCGAACGATAAAGAGTATGAAACGCTCCAAGAACGAACAAAGGGGTACGGAAAGGGAACGAATCGTGGAATCTCGCGCGTCGTTCGGTTTTGCTTTCACGTTGGGTTCTTTGACGGTCTAGGGGGAGGTAATTGGGTAATTGAAATTTCTACGGTCGTTTAACACTCGCCCAACGGAGGCCCTGGGTCTGTTTTTGACCCGGGACTGATTTTAATCGGTTGAGTCAGACACTTGGCGCGACGTTTGTTGTGTGAACGCGATAAGGAGAAACGTAGCATTGAACTACGAGAATATACAGGGTGTCCCGTAACTAGTGTAAGAACCGGAAATGGAGGGGGTAGCTGAGACGATTCTGAACAACAATTGCCTTTGCACAAATGTCGGATGGGGCTTCGTTTTTGAATTATTAACGAAAAACACTGACCAGTCACGGCGCGCGCCTACTGCGCGCTCAGGGCCGTCCGAACTCGAAGAGCCCACGTGTCGAGTAGGTAGCAAGATGTGCATTGAAGATACGTCGAGGAACCAATACAAATAATTAAAAATACTACCACTGCAACTGTTACCTAATTCGTTAATTACTACGTAATTAGTACGTAAATTACTAAATCGAATTTATTAATTATTTGTATTCGCTGTTTCCGAGGAAAAAGGAATAAAATCTCGGAATTTTTAGGAAATTAACCCTTTGCATTCGAGGCATGTTTCGGCATGCAGAAATCCAGTCTGCTTTTTTAGTACAGTTAATAATTCAAAAAGGAAGCCCTATCCGACATTTTTGCAAAGGAAATTGTTGTTCAGAATAGTCTCAGCTAAAAATACACTCAGATATTAAGTAGAAGTTGGTTTCTACAGCTCGAAGTTAAATATGTAAATTTGAAGAACCATCGGCTGATCTATAGTTCGTGATCGGCTCCTGGGCAAGAACGAGGTACAATTTTAGGTACCCCAAAATATAATATTTCTTGAAAGGAAAATAGTCGATGCTCGTGATCGAATATAATAGAAAGTAGGTAGAACTTGCTATGGAAATTCAGTACAAGGTTGGCAAAAGCGTTCTTACGCAAGTCCGTTAATTTTATTCGATGTAACTTCTGACGTAACGTATGTTTACAATTACTGATTTAACAAGACGGTCGGTACGCCAATGATTTATCGATACATTAATTCAAATTAGAGTCAAATGGATTAGATTTGAATTTCCGTACAGATTTTCTTTCCTCGGTGAGTTTAAAGTGCCGTCACTTAACATTTATCAGCGTATAATAAAACTTGTTGCCAATGCTGATACTTTGAATCGTAGTTTCGTATCTTTGAGGCGTATAATGCTTGTTAAAATGTATAGTAGTAAGGAAAAAGGTATAAGAACTCGACTCGAAACCCGGTAAACTGAAATTTCACTGTGATTCATCAGGAGTGAGTCATTGTCAGCCTCTGTTGTGCACGGTCCACCGTTCGTGGGTTAATCGTATCGATTGTCGAGCGTGCATCGAGAAGTTGCCTCGTTCGAGACAGCTTTGCGGAGTTTCTGATAATCGTTCGCGCCTCGGGAAAACTCCGTGGCCTCGTCTTGGAAGATACGAACTTTATTAGCTGTCGCGACTGACAACGATACCGTTCGTCATTACTACGAAAATGAAATCAGACGTTCTAGCAAGAAACCGTTGTCTCTCGCGAGCGTCTACTTTCA